ATTTGATCTCCTCCCATGAATGTGAAATATCTCTAAACCATGATATTCGTATAACTAAACTATAATTAAATTTTGTTTAGTTATTTATTTTGGAATTCACAGTCTATATGTATTCATTTTTTTCAGAATTCAGAGGTGTCTTCACGTATTCATTTTATGACCCATTGACCCACACTTGTGCATGTTTGGTAAGTTTAAACCCCCACCTTCTAGTTTTTTATATGGAGGAAGTTTTTTTTTTTAAATTAAGATTTTTTAAAACAATGAATATGCTTTTATCACAGACAATTCTTTTCTTTTAAAATCTATTCGATCACTAAAAGTTACTAAAAGTTACGGTTATTGATATTTTTCCATTTTCAGCTCGAAACCTTATAAAAGAAGTGGACCGATCAAGTATTTCACCAATATTTGTTACCACGTACCATCCGCATATGTATATTCACAAGTCTAACTCAATGATGGAATTGAATCAAATTGTTAAGATATGAGGTTTCATTCTAATAGGTCAACCTGTTAGGAGGAATAATCCATGTGTTAATATAGCACTTCGTTCATCCAAACTTTTCCGGTGAGACATTTAACACCCCTCTTCACGACCACACACTTCGTCTGGATCGTGCAATCACTCATTTTTTTCATCTGGCCGTTATTTTTTCATCTGACCGTAATTGTCAATTTTTTTATAATCGTGTCATAATTTTTCACAAGGGGCCCACTCCATGGATCGATTTGGCTCTGATACCATGTTAAGACCTGAAGTTCCATCCTAAAAGGTCAATCTGTTAGGAGGAGTAGCCCATGTGTTAATATAGCACTTCGTTCATCCAAACTTTTCCGGTGGGACATTTAACACAAATAATCCAAAGAGATTTATAATGTTCTTTCTTTTTGAACATATGGAATTAAAGCTATGTGTGATCCCTCCCTAGTCATTCTAAAGATCTAATTGTGTGCCTAGCTATACTTCTCCATAAATATGGCATTAACAAGGATCGTTTTTCTTTCATATTTAAGTAGTATAATTTCTATGATTTCACAACAATGATTGTTTTTATGGCATGAACAAGAAATTGATCTCGATCTTCTTGACACTATGTCCTATATTGTTGTAAGAGATTATTTCCCACTTTTAAAGTCTCGGTTCAAGTAAAAGGGATAAAAACAATGACAAAGATAAAAATGAAGTCAACATGCATGTTGATAACACATTGTTGCTATAAAAATTTGATGGTTGAGTACATACTAGCTTTGGTCAAAGGTTATCCGGATGCAAGAGGTCAACCAATGAACCAAATATTTTAGTGGCATATATTCAAATATATTTCACTCGATCTTTAATGGAGTTCAACAACTAATTCATTCGAGGGATGAAAGTTTTCCAAGGACTAGGAGGAGCCTTTATAAAAAGGAAAAGATTGTTTGAGAGGGAGCATACGAATATGAAAATAATGAAGGACAATCAATAGGAATTACAGGACACATATGGAACTGCCATCATTTGAAGAAACAATATGAGTAAACTCTCTTAAGTTCTGATGTAAAAACTAAAAAACAAACTTTATTTATTAGAAGTTTTTATAGGCTACAATGCATTGAAGCAAGATGAGTCAAAGCTCTCTCAAGTAAAAATCAATGTCTAGAAAACGCACTCAGAATCACGGAGTAGAACTATCTCAAACTAATTTTAGCTCCTCGGAGATTAATATTTATCTCTCAGATATTCATTTCTCTTAAGGGGGTAGAACCTTGTCGATGAAATAATTATCCTCAACGGTCAAATGGAAGGTCAAAGTCTGGAGTTCGAAGGGTCGTGTTCCGTCAGAGTTGCCAAGGACCAATGGACCATAAACTGGAGTCCAGGACTTGGGCAGAATCGCACAATGATCATCAAATACCTATTTATTATGTTTAATGTATTCTATATCTCGTAACTAACAATAATAGTTCAAAGAGAAAAGTACGGAAAAAGTATTTGTTGTTAGACCCGTTTTCAGACAGGGTCATATGTTTCATTCTTTATTAAAGTGGTTCATGTGTTTGAATTCCGTTATCACAAGAGGGTTACGCCGTTAAAAACGTCTGAAAAGGACCGTTAAAAGTAGCTCCAATTTTCAAAAGTGGCCGAAAAATTAAAATAAAAATACCGGAAGGTGCGTGTCAATAAGACGACCGCTTGGCCATCTTTCTTCTTTGTTTTCAGCCACCCTTGTCACCGGAAAGTCCACCGTCCCGGAAAAGTGATATTAGCGAAATCATTTTAAAAAGTAATTCAAACAGATCTGAAAAATTCAAAGGCGAAGGTGGTTTGGAGGTCATCTTGATGAGGCGCACCTTTCAGTATTTTTCTGTTAATTTTCCGAACACTTTTGAAAATTGGAGTTACTTTTGACGGTCTTTTTCAGACGTTTTTAACGGCGTGACCCTCTTGTGATAACGGAATTCAAACACATGAACCACTTTGATAAATAATGAAACACGTGACCTTATCTGAAAACGGGCCAAACCATAAGTACTTTTTCCGTACCTTTTCCTAGTTCAAATTAATGATATGATGTAATTAAGTGCTTGACCATTTGGTATGGATGGACACGGTCCGGTTCCGGTCTCGGACCAACTCTTGGAGAAAAATTTTGAAGCCCAGTACAGGGGCCTATATTTCCAATTCGAAACCTCCCTTTAGTCACGGTCTAGTCCCGTTTTTATATATATTTACTCTCATCTTCTTCCCCAGTCCCTCCATGCTATTTTTCAGCTTTTAAATGTACCCAGCCTTCTTAATTAAAATGCTTCACATTGGTTCAATTGCATATTAAAAGTGAGACTAGATCCAAACATTCAGGCTTGAGACATCTTTCTTGTCGGTCTAGTCTCGTCCCTTGACCCGTAACTCTATTTTTAGATCCCAAATCGAAAATCGACCAGTTCTAATCTGGTCCAGTCTCGAGATCGGGACCGTGTCCACCCATTTCTTTAGGTCTACCCCAAATAAGTCTTGATCCTCTTGAGCTTAGAACCCTCAAAATATTATTCTATGAATCTAAAAACGAATTGAGCTACTTTGTGATATCCATTCTCTTTAATTTCATATTTTCCACTTAGTCATTCTTAAGCCCATTCTATTCATGCCCTTAATAAGCCCTTTTTAATAAGGCTTAATGACCGGTCAACCTGACTAACGTAACAACCGTGCTGATTCCACAACATCTCAAGTATTCCCTTTTAGCCAAGTGTTCTACTCGACTAACGGAGTGGGGGACTCGTGTTGGGATAATGGGCTGGGTTCAACACTATCGGCCCGTTATACCCGAGATTTGGCTTGACCAGACTCAAACACAGTCTGCCTAGCGGAATTGGTCCAGAATTGTTTAATTATTCATCTGGTAGGCCATCCCATTAACGTCACTATTAGTTTATAAATTGGGCCAAGCCCACATAGCATTTACTAATGGACTTGTTGTAAATGCTTACAAATAGCTCATCAACCCTCCCGTAACCACTTACACTATTCTTTTTTGATGGAGTGTATTGTCATATACCCCAGGAGTATCAACATTTACGCTAAGCAGTTTCCGAACCCCACTAAGGCAAATTCGGGCCCTCTGAGGCCTAGCTTAAGACCAATATTCAGATCTACAGCCGAGGCTGGCCCTGAGGCGAGGTTAAGGGCATTTTTAGCGCTATGGCCGAGCCTAAGGCCAAACCCGACATCACGTTCTCGAGAACAAGCAAAGACAATCTCATTTATCATTGTGAGCCGAGGTTCCCCACCTCTGAGCTAAGCACTCATACTCGAGTTCGCTTCTATACACTTAAGCCGACCTGAGCTCAGGACCTCAGATAGGAATTATGGACTTAGACATTTTAGCACTAAAATCACACATTATTTAAGGATTTCGTCACCTCACAACAATTATCTCAAGACTGACATCACACAGTTCGGTTACAACAGTCATCTTCTATGTTTACACGTGTGGGTTATCCAACCATTCTGGTACATAAAGGACAAAAGTCAGTACAACAATTTCCATCAACCAATCAATCAAGATATATATTTAAATCACCAATTAGACTTACGCTTGGCTCAATTGACCAAATATTTTCTTGTACATTAGTGATGGACCCAGGCTGGTCCGGGTCGGGCCTAGGCCCGGGCGGGCCGGCGGGTCAGGATTGGTGGACCCGGGACCAGCCCGGGTAGCCACCGGGTCCGGTCCGGGCCTCCGGTTTGGGTATTTTTTTGCTTTCCTACCCCACCCCCACCCCCCATTAAACCCCTCCTAACCATCAAGCCCAACCCGGGTGGAACCCCAACAAATGAAAAAAAAAATTAATTTGGCCCGGATCCGGCCCGACCCGGCCGGGCCGGTTCGCCAAATGTGAGACCTGAGCCCGGACCCGCCCCCGGGCCTAGGCCCGACCCGGACCCGAGAACTGGGCCGGTCCCGGTCCCGCACAGTAGCGGGCCGGGCCGGTCCACGGGATGGGTGGACCGAACCGAGTCCACCACTATTGTACATTACTCTGCCAAATTTCTTACTCAGTTCATACTTAACATAGTGTAGGACTCTCTCTCGATTTTACATCACTCCACACTTACCACTCACTAGATTGATTGAGTTCTCTCCAAGTTATTTTCTACCAATAAAAGTAAAACATAGTGATACAAAATCAAAATGCCAAATGTCTCCTAGTTTTCATATTGCACATGAAAGTGTGAAGTGTGATGCATGTAGTCAAATAACCTTTCAAAAATTTTGCCATTGCGGTTCACCGCTAGGGGACATTGCCTATTGCGTTTCGGCTGGTCGCTCGGCACTGATCCGTCCACTTGACACTCCTGCCGACTCCACTGCCTGCTTCTCACGAAACAGTCGGCCCAATACATAAGTAAATGAAATGACTGCAGCCCAACTCTTAAGTAAATGAAATGACTGCAGCCCAACTCTTAAGTAAATGAAATGACTGCAGCCCAACTCTTGTTGTCCAGCCCATTAACGATTAAATGGTCTACCACCATCAGCCGGCAGTACAGTGAGACCGACAGAGAGAGAGGGGGACCAATGGCGTCGGCGATGATGAGATCCAGCTTACGCTCCGCTCTTCGTGGCGGTTCCGGCCGTGGAGCTCCAGCTTCCAAGCGCAATTTTTCTTCATCTGCGCATCACGATGAGGCTCGTAAGTTCTGATGTTATGTCCTCTTCCGCCTATTCATTAATTAATTCGTTTAGGGTAGGTTTAGATTTTTATTTTCTCTTTTTCATTACAGCCAAATTTATGGCCACGCAAATATTTTTTCCGATAAAGATCTTCATGATTCGTGTGGAAAGTTGGTTTTTTCCTTGCTCCGCATACCTCATTTTCAATTTCATACGGTGTGTGATTTAGATCATACTGTATGTATGTCTTTCACAATCAAAATGCATATTTATCGCTGACATTTGACTATTTTGGGGATTTGGATGTCAGAGTGACATTGTTTTGTTTTATGGTTGCGTTTTTGGAACTCAATTGATTTTGAACCATTTCCTCTGAACAGAGGAAGCAGCCAAATGGGAGAAAATCACTTATGGGGGAATCGTTGCTTGCACTATCCTCGCTGGTGTTATTCTTTCTAAGGGTCACCCCCACCATGATGAGCCTCCTGTAAGCTTACTTTCAGTTTAATCATTGTCTTGTAGAGCAATTAAAATCTAGAGTATCTGTAATCGCGTTAATTTTTCTCTAATATGCTGTGTGATTCGTTTATTTGTATAGCTCAGGAAGCAAATCTGAGTGGAAGGGATCTTTATAATATAATGTATTAGTATATGTATTAGGCCCTTGTTAGAAGAGTTAAGAGTTTCTTTTATTGCATCGGTGCTATTTCAGTATTTTGGTTAATATGCTTAATAGCAATATTGTACTCCCTAGTGTATTAGGATCCATAGGAGATTTTCTTCATCAAGAAAACCATACAATTCCAATATCAATTGTATAGACATCTGCAAAATCAAGTCTTGAAGGCTTTTGTCAATTAAGAGAGTTTTCTTCCACTGGCTCTATCAAGGACATGTTTGTGATATCCCAATTACTCTCATAAACCCCGCTTAATTTTGCCTAGGTGGTAGGCCCTTGGTCTACTCTCCAGATGTGTCCTATGCTTGTTTAGATTAGTGCTATAGATTATTAGTTTACTGTTATAATTCATGGAGTTCAGTTATATTGGTTTTCAACCATTCCTATTTTCAGGCATATCCGTACATGCATATCCGAAACAAGGAGTTTCCATGGGGTAAGTTCAAGTTTACTTGCATTAAGGGAGATCTTGCACTTTTAAAATCGGTTTCTGTTATGTTGTGGTGCTATAAATGGTTGCTAATCCTAGACTAATTAGTTATCTGAAATGATGAACTTGTGAGAATGCAGGTCCAGATGGCCTTTTCGAGACTAAGCACCATTGATAATTCACTACCATCCTTGTCTGCATTAGTGGTTGGTTAACATGTCTTTTGTTAGACGGTTCAAGGCTTCAAACCCGTTCTCAAGATGCTGTCTTGTATTGTATCCAGTACTTGGTTTCTTATAATCTCCATATATTGGAAACAATAATATGTATGTGATAGCTTGAATTTACTCATTCCTTCCAGTTCTTATGTTTATTTAAAATAAAGACATGCAATACATTTATTGAAGTGACTATACACCAAGGCTACTTATGGATTGCCTTCCCATTCCTATCAATCTCTCAGTTGCGGAACAAAGTTCTATATTTAAAGTGTACGCATGGGAAAAGTGTTAAATTATCCAAGTATGCTATTTATTTACCTAAAATTGTGTCGCATGTATGATAACTCTTTCTTGGGATAGTCGGTAATTGGTAATCCCCCAGTTTGGTTTCGAAAAATCCAAAAATTCCTTTTGAAACTGGAGGCATCACAATATCCCATTCCTGAAGGCTGAAGCCAGTAATCTAAAACTACATAAATAAATATTTATAAAATGGTTTCTAAGACTACACGTCTATCTACTCCATATGTTGTTATGCGATGCTGCTTAGTGGTAGAAGATGGGGAAAAAGTGAAAAATAACATGTAAACTAAAAAAAAAGAAAACAGAAAAAAGACAGATGTCCTGTTACTCAGTTGCTTCTTGGATTTTCCCTTCAGTTTCTGTCTGGCGCATAGTTTCCAAATCAGTTCGGGCATCTGTCTCTTCTTGAAGAACCGATGTGGAAGCAGATCCTTCATTTTGGGAGGTTGAAGAAACTGTAGAGTTGTTTTCACCTGGATATGTAGTTTCATCATTGTCATTTGAGGGATTAATTTTTTCTCCGGGACCTCCTGATGATATCTCTTTCAATTCCTCACCCATATCAGTCTGACCATTCAAGATTGAATTTTGCCCATCAGATGTAGAATTTGAATCTGACTTGTCCTGATTGGGGACTTCATTATTATCCCCCTCAGTTTGCTCTTTCAGTGCAGTTTCTTTGCTTTCATCTCCGCTAAATATGACACTGTCCTCCGATTTGGTCCCGGATTGAGTTGAACTAGTGATGAATTCACTTTCCGTCTGTGTAGAATTGTCACCTTCTTTAGATTCCACTATTCCTGCTGTGACATTGAAGCTATCCTCCAAAATGTTTTCACCTTTGCCTCCTCCCAAAGCTTCTGCTGCATTTGTCATATTATACATTTCTTGACCATTTTTCACTTTTGCTGAACCCGAACCCAACCCGTTTTGCTGTCTCTCATGCACCTCTCCTTCTTCTTTCACATTATTTTCTTCTTTAACAACCTCAGTCTCTTCCCTTTCATGTACCTTTTCTTGTTCTTGATCGTTGATAATCTCTGGGGTTTTGTTGTCATCATCAAAACTCTTGTCTTCCTCAGCATCCTGTCCTCCATTCTTGAGATCTTCCGCAGTCATTTGTTCTATACGAGGATCCAGATCCTTTCTCCCCAACTTGATCATGGATAAGCCATCTTGTTTCTCTGGGGTTGTCTTCTTCAGGAGGCTGCTGTCTTGATATGAGGATTTCTTGTTCTGAAATTGATAGATCAGCCAAAGGGAAATGCCTAATAGGACGCATATCTGAAGGGCGTGCTTCACCTTGAATCCATTATTTCTCTGGTTCCTTCGCGGAGACAGCTTGAACATGATGGTGATGATTTAAAGTGAATCCTACCTAGCTGTTCTTGATTCAGGAAAGGAAAAGAAGAATAATTAAGCTATATTGGTACGAGAGGGGGAAAGAATAATCACCCCTAAGGACACATAATGCCGAGGAAAACCATAGGATAGTAGGTGGTTGAAAATTTTCAGTTTTTATTTTGTTTCTAAGATCCTACTTTTAAGCATGTGACTAGTTAGTGGTTACATGTTATTATCAATAACGGTTGAAATGAGTTGAACCAGGGCAAATTAGGCTGTTATAAATTTGAATTTGGATTAAGATAAAAAAAATAGTCTACAGACTACATGCTCTGTAAGACTTGTAATAAAAAATTGTGCTTTGGGTGGTCAGCTAGAAGATAAAAACTAGTCAGACTTGTTTGAAGCTTCATGTAATGAAAGAAGTCAAGATTACACTAGCTTAGTGAATTTAGACTTAAAAGAAAATATGGAAAAGATTTTGATTTCATTATATTTATTAAGTTTTTTTATGGGAATGGTGGAATGGGTTGATATTTGTGTACCTTTCAAAACATTCATTGAATTGAGACCAAATAAATGAGTTAAAAGTTACTACCTCCGTCCGCTAGAAGGTTCCCATAGCAAAACGGCACGGTTATTTAGGTGATAATTAAATAAAGTACTTCGGGTATATTTTGAGAAATAATTTTAATAGGTACGTAGTATATATTATAATGTGTTAGTATTGATAACTGTGATGTTATAAATGTATTATTTGTAGTATTTAATGACTAATTTGTCACTTAAGATTGTTAATTGTTTCCTAAAATGGAAATGAGAACCTTCTAACGGGACATCCAAAAAAGAAAAGTGGGAACCTTCTAACGGGACGGAGGGAGTACTTATTATATTTGGGTGATACATAGGGATAAGGATGTTTTTACTTGAATTGAAATTTGCTGGTCTGATCTGATATAATTTATTTAAGTCTAGTCTGATAATGTTTGGTCCATATGTATTTTAAAATTATAGAAATCTGATTTAGTCTATCTATTTAAGTCTAGTCTGGTAATATTTGGTCCATATGTATTTTAAAATTGTAGAAATCGGATCTAGTCTATATAAGTCTGTCTAAGTCTTAATCCAGACCGTACGTAGGTACGCACCCTAATTAAAAATAAAATCATGTGTATTGTTTACATGTAAATACTCATATTAATTAATATTATTCGGATGTTTGTGCTTTGGTGTACAATATGCTTAAAACGTGTTTGATAAGACCAAGATTGATTTCATGATCCACTGAAATTAGTAAAGTTTTGGCATATATTGTGAAATATACTAAAATATACAATTATATGGAGGTAAGAATCATATTGGTAATTGAAGTTGCATAAAAAGAGTCAAATAAGTACTTACTATCGAGCATCGCCATTTGGGGAGGTTCCCGGTGGAATTTTTTGACGAAATTTTTTGAGCATCTTATTTATTAAGTCTAGTTTACTCATACCAAATTTCAGCTAAAAACTTCAACCGATAAGGCATTCAAATGAATTCTTGAATATAACTGCGCTTTTAACTGCGCAGTTATCTTTAAGAATTCATTTGAATACCTTTTTGCTTAAATTTTTAGCTGAAATTTGGTATGAGTAAACTAAATTTAATGAATAAAACGCTCAAAAAATTTCGTCAAAAAATTCCACCGGGAACCGCCCCAAATGGCGACGGCCGGACAGAGCCTCCTATATAAGGACTTATTTGACCCTTTTTATGTAACTTCGAGTACCAATCTGACTCTTACCTCCAATTATATGTAATACTCCATCCTTCCCATCTTACCTCGTCTTTATGAGATTTCGTATGATATATATACTACTCCGTATGTGTTTAATTAATATTATATGGAAAAAACTAAAATATTCCTTTTAAGCTAATCATCTAGAAATTTACTTTCAATCTTAATTATTCACATCGTTCATCATGAATCAGTTTAACATGCAAATAATGCTTGCTCACTCGGACCCCATGTTCTACTCTTCCATCCCATAAAAGGCTCAAATTTCTTAAATTCAACCATTAAATACAAAAGTACGTAGTCTTAAATGTTTGAATGAATAAATATGAAACTGAAGGTAAAAATAAAGGGCCGAAAAGAAACATTACCCAATTTAGATTTTCTCTTTAGCTGAACCCCTCCATGCATAAAAGCCATAAATTATCCCTCAACAATTGTTGGTTCAACCTTACGACCCAAAAGGCCAAAACTATCTGTGTTTGTTTTTTTGCTCCCCGAAAACGTTTATCACTTCACCATAGGTAACGCCGCAACGTCAATGAGGAAACTCCTAGCACCGACAAGGGCGATAAGATGCAATCTGTGAGAGCTGGCGAGTCAGCACACATTCGTAGCTCTTATTTTTCAATTTTGAGTGCATAAATGTATAACACCGATCCATTTTTCCAAATTTCCAATGAAACCGAATACTCCCTATTTTTTGGATTGACATTAGGAATATGATGAAATAAAATAAAATGACACACTAGTTTGTCTATGTGTTGTTGTTATGAATCAACAATCAATCAATGTAATTTCGACGCAAGTTTCATCATGGATCATCCGGAAAACAGTGTATCTATACTTTAATACAATGATAAGAGTGTGTACATTCAACCACTTATCCAGCGCAAGTGGGAACCTTTCAAGTGGGAACCTTTAATACTTTATTGTTGTTGCATGTATAATACGTATAGCATTTAAAATGTTGGGCTCCTATTCCTCCTAATTATATTTAGATTTTTATGGCTGTGAGGCCCTAGACTCACAAGCCCTAAGGCAGGACCTTGTCTCTAACTCCCGTTTGTTGTGTGAAACATACTCTTTTTTTCACTTTAAAGTAAAAAATATTTGATTAAATGTATTTCTCTCTTCTCTTTAAAAATCTCAGTAACACATGCACTTTTTTCTTTTTTCCATGTAAGTCAATTTTGACTAAACTTTTCCAGGTTATAGCTAGGGAGTATTTTTTTTATTTTTAAATGTAAGTTTCTTTTATTAGTACCCAACTAATAAATAATTGGTTTAAAATACTACCTCCGTTCCATAATACTCCGTACTAATCAAATTTTAAAATTTAGGCCGTGATTTTGATTAAAATAATACGTAGTATTATGAAAGTTATAGAGTTTATAGTTTTAAGAAATGATTTTTAACAAATAATATTTTACAATATAATTAGTCAAACTTTAAAATATGGCTTCTTATTTTACAATGGAGGTACTATTAAATATGCATTGTGTAAAATAATTCCAAGGAGGTAAGTTTGACAAAAACAACGGTTAAGACAAGAAGTCAAAATCACGACGTCAAGTTTGGCTGATTAGTAGGAGCTGGACTGTTACAGTTTCCTGACTTCAATTCCTTGGAGTAGGTTTTGGGGCTGCGGCCTGTGAGCTGGCAAATAAGGAAACGGAACATGCATGTGATAGCCCTAGCTTCAGGAAGTGGTGATTTTGTTGACCTATCCTAAGCTACCCTTTAGACCATATCTAGCTTCTTCTTTAGTGATTAGCAGCAACCCATGATCCATATTAATTCTAAGTAGCTATAGGGTAGGGTGGGGAAAATTCGATCTGTTTTGCTATAAAGATGGGGAAAGTGGGATATTGAGTCTAT